CAGGCTCCTGTGGCCTAATCACGTCCCTTCTGCGTATCGCGACAAAGCTAGCGGTCAAGGACGAGCGACTGGGCACCCTCATCTTCTTCTTCACCAGCATCGGGCTCCTGGCAGTCTGCTGTGCTGGCTTCTTGGCTGGGAGGTACCAGAATATGTGTCACGACGCGGTGGAATCAGGCGCTCGTCAATTTTGGGGCATATGGAGTTATTGGTATCATCTTGTCCATTTGCCTTACGTTGGATGAAAAAAATATCCATTTATCTTGAATACAAGTCAAGATATTTGCGATTGAAGGGGGTGGGGTCGCCTGGTTTCTGAGGTGAAATTAGTAAGGAAATGGCCGCCAAAGTTGAGTTATTTTATTAGCTGGATAGTCCATGGAAACTGAAAACTTACTTCTTTTGTGCCTTTAATCAACGTTTTTCAGAATTATAGACACAAAAATGTGTTCTTTAATGGGCATGAAAGGTGTTGAGCCAAAAAACAAAAATTCGATTAAAATTCCCAAATCTGCGAGGAAAATGCCAGTTGTTTTTTTTTACTTTCAATATTTTGACGAGCGCCTGATTTAACCACGCTGCCTCGCATATCTGTGACGTAGGTAGTCTAGTGGTTAGGCTACCGGACCTGTAATCGTGAGGTTGCGAGTTCGTGGGTTTGAGCCTCAAGCCCGACGTTGTGTCCTAATAGATAGCATTTGTATAGCGCAAATTCCCGCTCAACAGCAAGCTCTTGCGCGCTTTAAATTCTATATTATTACCCCAGCAGACCTGATAGCATTCTGAAACAATCTCCACTTCATGAGAAGCATAATACACTGCAATCTTCCATTTTTTTGCGTTAAAACACTAACAACAAACTTACACGATCTTTCGCTGTCTATGGCCCGGTACACATTCACTCCTGGTTTAGTGAGGAAAATTCGTGTAAAGTGCATTACTATTTCCGAGGACACAACGTCGGGCCTGAGGCTCGAACTCCAGAACTCGCAACCTCACGATTACGAGTCCGGTAGTCTAACCACTAGACTGCCGACGTCACGGTACTGATAATATATCACTGATGCGCTTTCTACAGCAGCAACACATGCACGCATCAAAAAATATATTATATTTGAAGGTATATATGGGTTGCACTGTTAGTCCAGTGGTTAGGTTACCGGACTCACAATCATGAGACCAGTTCGAGGGATAGAGTCTCATCTCTGTCCTCCGGTATGTCCTCGAGAAAGGCACTTTACACGAGTTTTCCCAGTTGGCTTGGTCCTATCGGAGATGGATGTTAAATTCAGAGGTCTTGTCTCCTAAATAACCTTATTGTGTTGCAAGGTGTGATAAACTTATACCGAATCGCACCTACACATTTTCAAAGTAAATGTATTATATTTCTCTCTCTTTCTTGGATGCCGAACAATTTCTGTTATTACTGTTATTACATTCTAAATCTATTTCAGGCTGTCCGAGTTCGTTAAAAGAAACATTAGACGATGCTCAGAAGCACAGAGGACTTTCGAAGAGACTGGAAAATTCTCGAACATTCAGAATAAGGTTTGCTTATTTTGCTACGTTTCATTGACATCTTAATCCTACATTTATTTGATCACTAATAAACCTCTTAAATGGTGAAAATGGTATAGGTTTAACGCCCTTCTTAACACTACTAGCCGCCTCTTAAAATACCTAATAGTGTTGATAGAGGGGGTTAAACCTAATAATAATAATAATAATAATTGCATTTATATAGCGCATATCCATGCTCAAGAGCTTGCTCAAGAGCTTGCTCAAGAGCTTGCTCTATGCGCTTTACAACTATTATTACCCCAGCAGACCCTCTGAGAACACTCAGAAACATTCTCAGCTTCCGCGGAAGCATACAGTGCAAGCTGCGGATTTCACGCGCTCAAACACTATCAAACTGACAAGATCTTTCACTGTCTATTCAATTTCACCATTTTTGATAACCTTATAGTGTTGAGAAGAGCGTTAAACGTAAACAATTTCAACCTATTTTCGACACCCATAAGCCCAAATGTCCATACACATAGCACACTAAACAACCATGTAACATCAATGCCCCCTCCCCATCCTCCACACCCCCCCCCCTTTTCGTCTCCCATTTAGCCCAGTAACAGAGCAGAAGGTGAACGGGACGTGGACGAACACAGCGGCCTCGTAAACAACCGTTTCCATGGCGACAACTCGGCTGGGGGAGTGAGGGGGCGTGGTCATGGCTCAGAGGCGGGGACAATGGGTGACCTACTTAGTGACGGTGCCCACGGCAGTACACAAGCGCTAGTCACGCCGAAGCGTTCTGTATGGAGAGGTTGGTTTCTTACTTTTTCATGTACATGTCAATGTACTATCCATCAAGGTCGCTTTGTGAGCTGGGTTGGTATCATGCTGGACGACGCAGCTTATGGCTTTGGTTCGAATCTTCGACCGGACGTTCTTGAACTCATGTCGTTTTGTGGAGTTTTAATTAAAGATTCTTAACCAATTTGGCTTAGACCTATCGGAGACGGACTTTAAATTCGGAGGTCCTGCCTGTTAGATAACTTTACAGTGTTGAAAGAGTCGTTAAAGCTATACGATACATACTTTATAATCTATTTGTTGATCCTGTCTATGTGCCTTTCTTTTCACAGAACAGGATGGTGCAAATTGTGTCGATATAATTTTCTTTGGTCCAGACAAAAACGAACAAACAGATAAACAAACAAATAAACACGTAGTTCAGCAAACAAAAAAGCAAATAGACACTCAAAAAAGTATATAAACAAACAAACAAACAAACAAGACAATGAGCAAACAAAAGGATTCAAAGTATACGTCTTACATTTGGCGAAATGTACAATGATTTCTTCTCCTTTTTCAGAGAGACTTCGTGCCCGTTGGGAGGTCACCAAGGTCATCTATCCTTTTATGGTCGCCTACACGTTGAACTTTGGCCTGACCATGACCCTTTTCCCTGGAATTGTGTCTGAGATTATCAACTGTCCTCTGGGCACCTGGTTACCCGTGATCCTAATGACCCTGTTCAATTTCTGTGACCTGACTGGTATGGTGAGTATAAATAGGCAGTTGTGTGTGAGTGTAAGTCTAAGCGTGCGTATATGTGTGTATATAAATATATATATATGTGTGTGTGTGTGTGTGTGTGTGTGTGTGTGTGTGTGTGTGTGTGTGTGTGTGTGTGTACGTGGTGAAACACCAAACTAATATGCCAGGATTTGGAAAAAAAGATGTATCTTATCTTACCTTATCTTAATTCTGGGGTAGCAATTTAACCGAATTTCACGTTAAACTTATTCGAGTTCATTGTTTGTTTTAGTAGAGGTTTTACGGCGCTCGCAACTGCATAAGGTCATATGAGCGCCAGAAGATTAGAGGTGTTACAAGGGAGTCACAAACATAAAAAAGAAGGAAGGGAGATAAAGACGATAGATGTTTGATAGGAAAGAAGGAGAAAACTACACCAGAGCACCCGCCAACCACCCGCGTCGAGTTCTTTACCTCGATGACTGCGTCGTTGGTCATGTGCTGGTTGAAGCAGAATTGTCTGTAGCTTCTGTGAGCGTACTGCACCACACTAACTCTTGTCTGGGTCGGGCTCACCATGAACTCGTCTGCATCAGAAAGGTAATGTGTGTTATTGGTTCTCTCTATCGATCATCTTGATCATCACTACTACCAACATCATTGTTAACAGCAAGGAATAAAAAAGGGGTTGAGACTGGTAGAATTTCCAAAATTGTATAAAGGTCCATCGTCTTGACCGGTAAAGGGCTTCATGATCACCACTTCCACCAAC